ACCAACTGGTAGATTCATTGACGAAAAAATCCCCCGATCTCACCTCCATGGTTACTTGAACTCAAGACCTCCCACAAGAGAGTGATTACCATTAGACCACTACAACTTGTGAATGAGCCCAAATACTTGAAAGTATTGCTTTGCCAAACTCTTTGCTACCCAATAATGTCTTCTAACTTCTCCTATTTGTGCTTTCTACTAAAGCTACACAAGAGGTACTCAATCTTATTCCCAAGTGCCGCTCTCCACGGCTCAAATTTTGCATTCACCCCTTATCTCATCTCAGTAACCAGCGCCACAACAAAATCATATATTGTACTCAAAAAGGCTTATCAATAGAAAAGCTAAGGTTACGGTTAGAGTATAAATAACCTCTCCTAGGACACAACCAAAAGCTTGAAAGCTTGAGCTTTTGGTTGAATTGGTTTCTTGAGGGTTACCAATAGAAATGCCAGCATCACTGGATAGAAAATCCTAGTCTCTAAAAGCATCAAAGCATAAAATCCAGTCGATAAATGAATGACACCGTAGCCAATAAAAATGCATATAATGTGTGAGATAACGCGATTGCTAAGTTAATAATCAAAACAGTAGGAATGTCGAGTAAACTGACCTTGCTGTTGTCAATGGGGAACCAGCACATCCCCTTGGATTCATGACAACCGGAAAAAACCCTCTCTTCAAACAGTCACAAACAAGCCCCCTAACATCCTCATCCATGCTTCCCTCGGCTGTCCCGGGAACAATCAAGCAGGTGGTGTCCAATCCACGCTCCTCCTCCAAGTCCAAATTCGCTGGCCAGTCCAACGACACCACTCCTCCATCCTCCATGCTTATACACAGCCTCTGGTAAACCAACTTCTCATCAAATTTCTCATCATCGCTCTTCCAAACCTGAATCTTGCCACTAGTGACTCTCACAAAATGACTTCCCTCTTTCACCAGCCTCTCCTTTACAGTTTCCATCAACTGGCCCCCAACGAACGAAATTGAAGGACACCGCAGCATGACGAACCTGTTAAACGGCGTAGGAGCGGCGAACAGAGTCCACTCCCCGATTTCCAACACCGAGCCTTCACGCCGAGCTCCGTAACTCCTCGAATCGCCGCGCAACCGCGACAGGTAGAGAGCCGTTCCGGAGGCGAAGCCGAGGGCGGGAGCGATCAAATCGAGCGAATTCACGGAAGGGAATTGCACGATTAAATGCTGGAACAGAGACTCGAAGGGCGAATGGGAAGATAATAAGGTGCTCGGGACGGTGACTCGCCGGCGGCGCTTCCATCCGACGCGGTCTGTTGAAGTCCGGTTTCTGCATTGCCGGAATGGAATTTCCGGTGAGAGATTCCGAGAAGGTGTTAATGGCAGGTGAGCGGGGAGCAAACTGAAGCTCATTTAAGGCACAAAATTTAAAATTACGGGAGCGAAGAGAGAGAGAGAGAGAGAGAGAGTACGGCAAAGAATGTTCTAAACTCAGGAAATATCTGCGAGAAGGAAAGAAAAATGGAGAGGTTGAGGATGACCGTGTGGTGGGGCCCGCTGGGTTAGACTAGCGGTTGGAAATTAACAGTCGGGTCCTTATCAATCATTTTTTCTTCACTTTTAGACTTTGTTTCTTACTTTTTTTCACATTACTCTTTCCGTAAGATTTAATATTTTTATTTGACTTTTTTCCAAAGTTTATCCTCTCTCCGTCCCGTAATATTCGTCCTGTTTTTTTTTAGAACTTTTCACTAAGCACTTTGACTCATTAAATTCTCTCAATGTGTAAGCGTAAATATAGTCATGTGTGATCTTATTTGATTTGTCTTAACCTATAGATTATTAATATATAATTTCTATAATTTTTTACTCCGTAATATACAAATTACAAGATAAAATGGATTAAAGAAGTGTATTGGATGGTGTGTAAAAATGAAAGTGGACAAATACTCTGGGACGGAGGTAGTAAATGTTAACCTCGGTATGCAAAAAAATACATTTGTTTCAATATAAATATAATATCAATCATTCTCTTTTAAAATGTAGTTTTGAGATATTCAAATTTTATAAAATATATTTATATATAAATATCGATATTTATTAATAGTTAAAAAGTTAAATAGAAGACCATGAAAAATCAAATGGAAAAAGTAAATCTGGATGGAGGGGGGACATTTTTTATTGTTTTCCATCACTTTTACGCTTTCTTTCTAATTATTTACTATCTACATCTAACTTTTTAATTATTTCTAAGTTTAACTTTAATCATATCAAACGGCAAGAACTTTTTTTAAGGTGGAACAAAATGAGTAATATTATTAAAAAAATGCTTAATTAAAATTAAAAACACTTCAGAACATATAATGAGTTAAGATCTTCATGCGGCGTCTAAAATAGCATTTATAACGTCAAATAATGTAAAGATAATGCTCCCTCGTCCTAAAAAATCAATTTCATTTTTATATGTTTCAAAAAATACTTCTACTTTCAATTAAAATCTTTCATATACCCTTACTAATTATTAATCTATCTATTATATCATATCTATTTATTATAAATTTACCTATTACATCATCCTTTTGTAAAATAAAGAAAAAAATTAAAAATAGTACCAAAATTACACAATTTTTTTATCTCAACTTTTCCCGACGTGAAAATATTTTATATGACGAAGGTAGTATAAAATATCATTATACAATGTAAAAATACAAATATTTTATAGTACTAAGAGCATGAGCAATGGTGAGGTAAAAATGGAATGCCACACGCTGACTTGGAAGATTCCAACCAATAAAAAGTAGTCCAGTCAACGAGTGGCAAGGGAGTCGAGTGGTGTGCTCTGCAGTGGCAAGTAGTGTTTTTATTATTTTTTTGTTTTTTTCCATATTTGAATTATTTGAAGTTATTTAACCTATTTATTTTATCACAAAAATACTCTCTATTTCTTTTAACTCAAAATTATTGAAAAAAAATTTCATAATTGTACTTCTACTATTTTTTTTAAAAAAACTTCTTTTTTGATGCAAACAAATAAAATGACAATAATTTTTTCTCACTTTTTATTTTTCTTTAAATATTTTGATTATTTGAAATTATTATTTTTATTTATTTTATCATAAAAAAGGTTATTAGGAGTACTTCATTAAAAAAATCATTTAAAAGTCTCTTACCAAAAATGGAAAAAATGAAAAAAAAGAAAAAAGAAAAATAGGAACAAGAATGCCTCGCGGATGACACGGTAATGGAGGAGAATTTCCATCTCCACACATGGCAATGGACCAAAGATGCTGAGGTGGCAGGGCGTGGGAATGCATCTCCACGCCGCTGCTGATGCTCTAACATGCATATTTAGGAGATAAAAATACTCTGGATACAATATCTTATTTTAGTACTATTAGATAATTGTTTGTCTCGTTTATTTGGTCAAACTAATATGAAGTATTAGATATTGATACAAGAATAAGTTTTTCTTACAAAATATTTTTAATATATTTCTTTATCTAGTTAATATAACAATTAATTCTTATTTAATTCTAAGTCAAGGTAGATATGAGTTGACTATAAAAAATAAAAACTGAACAAATCTTCTGAGATGGAGGATTATTTTAAAGACTTATACTCCCTCTGTTTAAAAAGATTTGTACTATTCACTATTCAAAACTTACAAAAACTTTTATTTATTTTGAACGTTTTGATTGATTATTTTATAAGATAAAATATCTTTGTGAACTATTATTTTGTAAAAGTTTTGACATAGATTTTAATATTAGCTTTTTTTGTTTCCATATTAATTTTTAAATAAAATAGAGTGAATAAAGTAATAAAATTGAAATTTTACTTTTTCTTATGGAAAGTGTAAAATACTTTTGGGAGTAACCTATAAGGCGCTTTGATCGTTAATGAACTTAGATGCATAGTATCAATTAAAATGTAACGGGCCAATAGATTTGAGATTTTTGTACTCAACGGGCTTACGCATTTTTAGCCCATAGCATTTCAAAATCTAAAATTTTCAAAACACGTGGATATTACTGCTGGGCTATGGAATTGGTTCAGATTTTGGATCCAGGTTTCCAAATGGGCCCATAATTAGGAGTACAATTGTGTGTACATCGACTTTGTATAAATATTGGTAACACAATTTAATTACTCCTTCCATCTAAATATCATCTTCCCGTTGCGCGTTACGATGTTTGATTAAGTTATTTTTAATTTATATGAAAAATGATGTGAAATTAAAAGGTAAAAATTACATATTGAAAAACTACACTAAAAGGTACAAAACTAGAGGTGACACGACTATATTGTTTTATCAAACAGACAATGAAAATAGACCAACAAAGTGAATAAAGTTTGACCTTGCGAATAATGAATGAAAAGATACTTTATGGACGGTGATGGTGTAAATTACCACGCAAATACTAAGTGTGAGTAATCGGAAGGGTTGTAGGTGGAAACACCTGTAACCCGATTTGTTATTAATGATAATAGGAGTTATTACAAATACAAGCCGTGCAGGTTAATTAAAGCATGCCTCACAAATGAGGCTTTCAGGGGTATTTATAATAATCCCAAGCACGTCAAGCACGTCTCTGATTATCCAACCGGTCAGGCGGCTGACCGGCCCACCAGGTGCACTTTGAAAGTAGATCTTCGGGTATTGGCGTCTGGTCTCCCCATCCAACCGGTCAAATAACCCGGGCTGAGAAAGACGTGTGCTGTTCGGTGAACCAACCGGGTGGTATCCTTGGGTTATTACCCATCAAGGAGTCCTCCGATTCCCGGTCCTGTGGGGACCATCAGGGGCGGGAAGCACATGCGATCATTTCCTGGAATTTGAACTGCCAGTCGCTTTTTGGCGGGAAAATCGTCTCGGAGCGCCAACCCAAAATATTTGAAATTTGAAATTTGAATTTCAAATTTCAAAAACCGGGTGTCCAAAGCGGGAGAATTTCTCGAAGTCGGGTACGGAGCCGCCGATTTATTGTGCCGTTTCGTCTCCCCGAGAAGTTATGATGGCAAATCATTTCAGCTGCCACGTGTCATTCTTTTGTTTGTCCGTTTGGGCGGCCTCTCTCCTATATAAAGCGATGTCCTCCCTAGGATTTCTTCACTTGCAAATCTTCGATTTAAAAAAACCGCCCGGCCGCTTCTACTACTTCCGAGTCCTCCGAGTCCTCTTATTCCAAGTAACTCTCTTTCTTTCTTCTTCCTCGAGTCATGTCTGACCACGAACACAGCCTGAATCCTTCCTCTGATTCTGAGCGCCCGGCTACTTCTCCACAGAAGAAGCCGGTTGATGCTTCCACTTGTGCTCCTTCTTCTTCCGTGGCGCAAGTGATCTCGGTTGCCCAACCTGGGGATGAGGGCTTCGTTCTGTTGGACGACCGATTGCTTCAAACGCAATCGTCGATCATGCAGAAGGCCCAGGTCCACGAGGTGCGCAACCTGATGCCGGACGGGTAACAATTAACTTACCGGGCAACGTGGAAGAGCATTATTCCTCTCCACGCCGGTACGTCGATTGGTATCCATTACCACTCAATCAAGGACCTGGGCGAATTCTCCATTCACCCATTCAAAGTCCTTTTCCTTGAAACATACGGTATCATGCCCGGGTAGCTGGCCCCTAACGGTCACCGTTTGTTGGCAGCTTCATCAATGTCTGCCGGTTCCTTCGTATTCCTCTTTCCCTTCGTCTCTTTGACCACATGTTCGATGTCCGGCGCGGGTCCAAGGAGACCCTTGGATTCGTGGTGGTGTCTTCTCACCAAGGTCGGGCATTTCTCTGTGGCCTTCCTCCCTCCAACAAGAGGTGGAAGGACAAATACGTCTCCATCAAATTCCCCCCGGCTGCCTTTCCTTTTGCCCAAAACGTCTGAGGGAAAAGAATGAAGCGCCAGGTCAAACCAACAGAGGCCTTTGACCTGGTTGCCTGGGAAACCACTCTCCGGGCCGGGGATGCCTCCACCCGCGGTCTTTACCATGTCGGGAAGTGGAGCGTCTACCCCGGCTGGGAGACTGACCCTGAGCCGGAGATTGTCCTAACTGGGGTGATCCCCGAAGCCATCCCCATTAGCCGGGTGAAGGGATCCAAAGCCCTGGCCACAGCCACCGCCGGTCCTTCACGCCCGGCGAAGAAGAAGAAGGAGAAAGGTCAATCAACTACCCTTATTTTCCTTCCATTTTTTCTTTTTTATATTGCTGTTCTTCTAACCGGTTTCTTTTCTTGCAGTGGTGAAGTTCCGGTCGAAATTTGCCATCCCCCAGATCGTGGTTGAGGAACCCTCCACTGCTCGGCCACTCAACCCCCCAACCAGCCAGCCTCTCTCTCTGGAGGAGCAGCCGGCCCAATCCCACCAGGGGACCAGCCAGCCCATACATTCGGGGGAGCTCTACATCAATGTAGATACCCTGGAGTTCGATAACATGCTGGGGGAAACCGGCCATGCCTCTTAACCCCATGAGGATGATGGCGAAGAAGAGGCTGCTGGAGAGTCCCTTCAGCGGAAGAGGCGGAAGACCGAGGAGGTCAACCAGCCATCCCATCAGGGGCCCCAGTCCTCCGACGCTGGCAAGGGACCCATCGTGCCTCGATCTGTGGCACTGATGTCCCGGTCGGACGAAGAACTTTTCCAAGCTTTCCGTGCTGACCTGAGTGAGGTAATCTCTTTTTTTTAACCGTTTCTTATTGCCTCTGCCCTGTTTCTAAAATTTTTCATGTGTTTAAAGCAGGTCGGCCGGATCGGTGAAGAGTACTTTGCCCGGATGGTGAAGTCAAAAGATGAGGAGAAGGCCCGGATGGAGGCCATTCTGGTCGAATGCAGGAAGGATGCCCAGGCTGCCCGCGCCCATGCGGAGAAGATGGAGGCCAAATGGGTAGAACTCTGCGCGGTCTACCGCCAACTCTACGCCAAGCACGATGGACTTCTAAAGGCCGCGAAAGATGCTGATGACCAAGCCCAGGCCAAGATCCAGCTCCTGGAGGCTGAAAATGCTCGGTCGGCTGAGGAGATCACCCGGCTTGGAGATAAGCTGGAAAAAGAGCGCTCAGAAAGGGCTTCTCTGGCTGCCGCATGGGCTGTTCAGGCGCCTGAGGAGTTTGCTTCCCAAGCGCTTCCTGACCGGGAGACCGCCATCCGCTTCTTCCAAGGCCTGTACAAGCACAAGGTGTCGGCCGGGATCGTGGATGAGATCGGCACCTTTGGTTACGAGAGCGGTCAGTACACGGAGCGGCGGGCCCTCTATGGCATCCTTGAGCAGCGAATCCAAGGATTTCGTCCCAAGGCTCTATCTCTGCCCGATCTGCACGACGAGGAACCGGTCCCTCCATTCCCTGGAATCTGACTCCCCTGGCTTTATCTTTTATTATATTTTTTTTTTACTTCCCGTGTAATGATCTGCCTGACGCTTAAATATTAACGCAAGTGTTTTTCTTCTATATATTTTCTTCAACTTGAGATTCTTTAACCGTTTAGATTAGTAAATAACAGCCCGGCCGCATTTACCCATTTCGACCGGGAAGACTTTGAGTTTCATCAAATTTCTTCCGGTCAGTTAATAACCCGCAATGGCGTATCGAGTATTTGCCCGGTACCTTAGTCAAGCCAAATCGTTTTAACTCCCGTGTTAGTAGGGATGAGGTGTAGGATCGGTCAGACCGGTCTCTCTCTCTCTCTTTTTTTTTTTGAGATGCCAATTCGATTGGACATCTAACCGGGTAGATCGGTGTGCCGACCAATTACCGGTTGATGTATGAGGACAATCTTTCTGAAAAGAACAAAGTTTTTTTTTTGAGATGCCAATTCGATTTGACATCTAAGCGGGTAGATCGGTGTGTCGACCAATTACCGGTTGATGTATGAGGACAATCTTTCTGAAAAGAACAAAGTTTTTATTAACACCTAGAGAACTCATTACACTTTATCTAAAGAATTTACGCAAGTGATGAGAGTTCCAATGTCGGTCAACCCGGCAACCCTCCATAGTCTCCAGTTGGTAAGTGCCCGGCCGGATGATCGCCTTTATGCGATAGGGTCCTTCCCAATTTCGCACCAACTTGCCTCTCTCGTTAGGTTTACTATCATCCCGTCTGCGCAAGACCTCATCATGCACTTGGAAGTATCGTGGGCCCACCCGGTTGTCGTGATATCTCTTTACCGACTGCTGGTAACCGGCCATCTTGACAGCTGCTAGGGTCCTTCGTTCTTCCACCAAATTTAACTCCGCTAGGTGGTCGACCTCGTTCTGACCGGGCTGGTACAAGGTTTCTCTAAATATTGGAATTTCCGCTTCAATAGGCAACCGGGCTTCACATCCGTAGGTGAGCACAAATGGAGTTTCTCCGGTTGCCCTTCTTGAAGTCACTCTATACGCCCAGACCGTGTGAGGCAAAGCTTCCAACCATTTATGGCCTTCTTCACCCAACCTCTTCTTTAGGCCGTCCACTATCGTCCGGTTAGCATTTTCAACTTGGCCATTTCCCCGTGGATAAGCTACTGAGGGGTTGCTGTGCTTGATTCCAAAACTAGCCAAGTACTCAATGAACCGGGGGTTACGAAACTGCGGACCATTGTCGGTAACAATCATCTTCGGGGCACCATACCGGGTGATAATGTTTTTCCAAACAAATTTCTCACACTGCCGCACGGTTATGGTAGCCATTGCCTCGGCCTCGACCCATTTAGTGAAGTAATCAATAGCCACCATCACGAACTTCTTCCCGCCTTGGGCGAAAGGGAAGGCTCCAATAATGTCAATCCCAAACCGGGAAAATGGTATGACATTAGACGTTGGTTGGTAGTATGTGGCCGGTCTGCCGGGATGTTTGTAAAAAACCTGGCACGTCCTACATCTCTGGACATACCGCTCACAATCCCCCACAATGGTCGGCCAGTAGTAGCCAAGCAATATTATCCTTTGAGCCAGGGTGCGAGACATTTGATGGGCCGCACAAACACCCTCATGCACCTCAGTTATTACCCGTTCAGCCTCCGGGTTGGTAAGGCAACGTAGGAGAGGTCCACCAATGGCACGTTTGTACAAGTGACCATCGATTACCTGAAAACGGGGAGCCCGCAGAACGACCTTCCTGGCCCGTTCCTCGTCATCCGGTTTCTGACCGGTCTCCAAATATTCCATGATATCGTACCTCCAGTCATCATCTGCTCCGATTATCCCGGTTGCCGAATTCTGGCCCGGTTGGATAGCCGCGATTTCAAACCGATCAGTACTTGGTTGATCTAAACTTTCAATTTTAGCCAACTTCGACACATGCTCCGGGCATGATTGCATTAACTTCGAAAGCATATCAGCGTCTGTGTTCTCCGACCGGGGTATCCTAGTCAGACGAAACTCTTCCAATTCCCTTAGAAGTGCTCGGACCAGGTCACCGTACCGGGCCAGACGCTCCTCTTTGACCTCCATCTCGCCATTGATCTTTCCAACTACAAGACTTGAGTCGGAACGAATTCTTATTCTCTTTATTCCGAGTGCCTGGGCTAGTCTGAGGCCTCCGGTTAGTGCCTCATACTCCGCCTCATTGTTGGTATAGAATTTCATGCAGAGGTGGGCCATGGAGATGACTCCACGGACCTTGTTTATTCCAAGTCGGCCTAGGATGGCGTTATGAACACATTTGATGTTCACTACCACAAACCTCATTTGTTTCTAGACGACCTGGTCTCCTGTGCCCAACTCACAAGTCAGAAGGATTGACCCTTCAGCTTCAACAGAGTCCCCGGTAAACCCAGACAGGGGAGTCTTTAAGGGCTCAAGCCGTGTTCAACACAACTTGAGCTTCTCAAATGCATCCAGGTACAATACGTTAACACTACTGCCCGTGTCAACTAGCACCCGGGAGACATCGACTCCACCCATATCCATAGTTATGACCAGGGGGTCATTGTGATCTTCTCTGGTGGCGGGGAGATCACAGTCAGTAAAGGTGATCGGCTCCCGTCTTGCCTGTTTTGACCGGGGATTTAAGGCCACCGTCCCGACGTAGAGCTCTCGCCCCCATTTCTTTCTTTGGGAAGCAGAGTCTCCCCCTTCCGGTCCACCGTAGATGACCTGCAAATGCTCTTTACCGGGTGGTTTCTTCTTCTTGTTCTGTTCGACCGGCTTCCCTTCAGGCCTAATCCATTGGTTTTTCTTTTGCTTGGCCTGAGTTGGCCGGAAAACGCTCCGACCCGCCGGCGGTTTCTGGCGGGTCGGAGCGTTTTCCGGGTAAATCTGGCGAAATTGACGGCGGGAACCAACTCCAATGCGCTCGTGACATCCGGGCGACCTCCAAGGACCCCTCAATTGCAAGATTTGATGAAGATTTGCAAAACCCCCAATTTTGGATCCAATTTCGAATTTTAGGGTTTTTTCGAGTAGAAAAATTCAGATTCGAGAAGTTACAGGCCAAATTAGACAAAATGGTTTGGATATTATTGATCCTCGTCTCAAGACGAAGAGAATGACATTGGTCCCGCCGGAATCGGAAAAAGTTCATTTTCCGGCGACTTTGACCGGCGGGCGGCGGCGGCGGGGCGTGGAAGAAAAGAAAAGAAGAAATGGGATCAAATTGAAAATTTTAAAATATATAAAATTCGAATTTGGCCCTAATGACCGGAAGTTAACCTAGAAATGGGCTAATGGCTCTTTAGTGAAAGGATTGTGTAAGTTCAGGGATTTTTGTGAAAGGATTTGAAGTTCAGGTACTACTTCGAAATTCCAGCTAAAGTTCAGGTACCATTTGTGAAATTTACCCGAATTTTGGGACCTCAAGTTTTGCCTTCTTTGGAAATGGGGTCTCGTCAACCCGATCTGTGAACGGAGACTCGTTCAGCAGGATTTTCTTCTTTTCATCCCGATCCACCCGGCGTTGCAGCTTTTCTAAACGTGCCTCAACCCGGCCCACACGATCCTGTGGTTCAATAAGGGTACGAGTCGTGTGCCTGGGGTGGCTTTCTGCTTCTTCTTCTCCATGGGGCGCCCGGCTATGCTGGGGCTCTTCGCGATGGGGAGGTTCCGTGCGCCCGGTCCGACCGGGTCACTCGGCCCCTCTACCCAGGAGATTAAAAGCACTCAACGGGGTTGTCTCCACTCCTAGTCGTTCTTTGGCAGGCCGGTTTTGATTTCTGCCTTCATGGCCAAGCCTTTGAAACGCTGACCTCCTGGACCCTTCAGGTTGAATAGCTTTTTCCTTCAGTTTCTTTTGTGCCTGGGGTAGATCCTAATCCTCATCCCTACTATGGACTGATCGCTCATCGCCATCCGGCGTGATCTGCGTGCGCGACCTCCGGGACCGACTCCTTCTGGACCGGGACGGGCCAGTTTTGTCCATCTCTCTGATTAGATTCGTTGGAGCGACTGGGCAGATGACACTGGTTTGGGGCAAGGATTGTGGGTATAACCCGGGAATAAAAGGTGAAAATCCTCCCGGCTGTTGAAACATGGAAATAAACTGCCCAAAATTTTGGAATGCCTGTGAAAACAGCGGGTCCATGGGCCCGGGAAAATTTGGAGGAAAAATAGGGATAGAAGTGACGGGGGAAGTGAATGGAGTAGGTGTTGGAACAGAGAACATGGGGGTAGGAATCTGGTTTGAGGGTTGTGTACTCCCTCCCGGGAACGAGGCGACGTTCTCAACGGGAGTAGAGATTTGTGAGATGACGGTTTCCTGATTGTTTGTCATGGCTTTTTGTAATAGGTCCCACGGATGGCGCCAATTTGATGGTGTAAATTACCACGCAAATACTAAGTGTGAGTAATCGGAAGGGTTGTAGGTGGAAACACCTGTAACCCGATTTGTTATTATTGATAATAGGAGTTATTACAAATACAATCCGTGCAGCTTAATTAAAGCATGCCTCACAAATGAGGCTTCCAGGGGTATTTATAATAATTCTAAGCACGTCAAGCACGTCTCTGATTATCCAACCGGTCAGGCGGCTGACCGGCCCACCAGGTGCACTTTGAAAGTAGATCTTCGGGTATTGGCGTCTGGTCTCCCCATCCAACTGGTCAAATACTCCGGGCTGAGAAAGACGCGTGCTGTTCGGTGAACCAACCGGGTGGTATCCTTGGGTTATTACCCATCAGACGGAGAGAGTATTATGTACACGTCCTTTTAAATGTTTTTTTTGCCCAAAAACACAACTTTATTATTCCAACCAAAGAGACTTATACATCCAGATGACTACATCTAACTCAAATTCTAAACAACCTTCTTATAACTAAGATAACTTTTCATATAAGAGCATATATAATTAATGGTCACATCTAAGTCAAACTCTCCTTGATTCATCTTCTTGTTCCTTGCTCTCCAAATGCCATATGCTGTAGCTTCCCAGATTGCCATGAACACCGCCCTTCTCTTTCCTTTTATCCTCTGCATGCCTGCCTCCAGTTCATCCAGGTTCAGGTGCTCAATTTGAAAGTTGAACCTAGTGAAACAACCCTTGTACATTGCTTGCGCAGATCCACATTCCCAGAATAAATGTTTATCAGTTTCCTCCTTAGTATCACATAGGACACATCTAGTATTTATTGTCATAAATCTGCTTAATCTTTCTCTAGTTTGTAATCTTCCTCTCATTAGTAGCCATATTATATGTTGAAATTTGGGAGGGGAGAACTTGTTCCAAACCAGGCCAATCCATTTTGGGTGTTCAGGTTCTCCTTGCAGCCAATCATACCCTTCTCTAATGTTATATCTTTGGGTAAGAGGCATGTCTCTGAACTTTCCTCTAATATGAATCATCACCCTCCAATAATGGCAAGAATCTAATCTAGGAGTAAAGCTCCAGAAATCAGCACCCTTAATATACCTGCTATGAATCCACTTCACCCATAATACATCTTTTTTCTCAGCTATGTCCCAGTTCAGTCTCATGATGGCAGCTTTGTTCCAGTTTGATATATTTTTAATGCCCACGCCTCCATGCTTCTTCTTTTGGCATATTTCTTCCCATCTAACGAGTGGCATCTTTTTGTATTCGTGTGTACTCCCCCAAAGGAAGTTTCTGCAAATTGCGGTGGCGTCCTTTTAAATGTTGACTAGGCAATCATTAAATAAAATATATGAAATGTGCTATATAACTAGATCATCTCAATTTAAAACTAAAGCATGGTAAAATTGAAAAACAAAACGCAATATTATTCTGACTAAATAAATGGAAGATAGTGTTTCAGACAAAAAATTTTGAGAATTTTAAAGTGAATAGTTTATAATCAAAATTGTATTTGCTTGGCAGGTGCATGTATTGGGCATTTTCAAAAGAAATAGTTTCAATTATGATCCCATGAACACATTGTTTGGATAAAAAGAGAAAATGTGTGGAAAGAAAATGGATGGAAAGAAAATAGAGAAGAAAGAAAATGAAGAGAAAATGAAAAGAAAATAAATGTTGTTTGGATAGGTAGAAAATAGAGAGAAAAGGTAAGAAGAAAGAAAATGTATTAAAATAAAAAGACAACTTTACCCTTATTCTATATGGAAAGTGAACGTAGTGGAGGATAAAAATGTCATTTCCAAACTTTTCTCTTCCTTTGGCCAATTTTCTCGCCCCTAGAGGGGAGAAAACTTTTCACCTCTCCCTTTCTATTTTCTCCTAATTTTCTCCGGCAAACAAACTGAAGAAAGTTTTTTGGAATTGTGTTTTCTTCTCAAACATTTTCTTTTCCTCTAATTTCACCTCATCTAAACACAAGCAAAAAGTGTGAGGAGATTCATAAGGAGTACGTGATTTCTATTTTTGTATTGAAACTTAAATAAATGGCCTTATAATTGAAGCATGGGATACTCTTTAATTTGTAAAAATGTGGTAAAACATCAAAGCATATGATTGATGATGGAGAGCTCTCCATATATAAGATCAACAACAATATTTTTATTTTTATGATGGCACATGTTTCTTTAAAATTAATTAATGTGATGTTATTCAGGAGTATTAAATTAAAGTGTATACCATAAGACACTCGAGTTGAACTACATAAAAATATTAAATCTAATTGGAGTATGAATTTTCAGACTGGCAATTGGATTAAACCGACAACAGGCAGTTGAGTATATATTCCACACAGACAACTGACCAAAGATTAGAGCCGTTAGATTTTGGCCTTGTTTGGATACTAGCAGTTTGCAGTTGGTTGTTGGCTGTTTATGTTAGCTGATTTGAATGGTTGATTGAGTTAGCTGTTTTGACCGGCTGTTTCTTTTAGCAGTTAAATTTTAAGTGTTTGGCAACTTTAGTTGTTTATAGTTAGCTGTTTGTAAATAAAATTACATAAAAGGACATCCCTCCATTTATGGTATATTTTATTTTACAATTTTTTTAAATATCATATCATAAATAATTTTTTTTTAAATTAAAAAAATTAAATTATATATATATATATATATATATATATATATATATATATATATATATATATATATATATATCTGTGTGTGTATGTATGTGTGTGTGTGTCTAGACATGATATTTATTTTTCATTTTTTTACATGTAAAAATTGAATCTTTACTACATGGAATATTAAATTTTAATTTCATTTAATTCATAATAAATTATAAATATAAATTTTTTAATAAATTATAAATATAATTTTTTTTAATTTCATTTTATTTTTTCGTATTTAATTTTTTTAACTTTTATTTTTATTTTTTACATATATTATAAAATATCTTTCAACAAAAATGATTTTTAAAAAAATATTTTTCCTAACCGCCATGTCCAAATGCTACTTACCTTGGCATTTCAGATTTTGGTTTTTCGGATCAAAATGCCAAGTGAAAAAGCCATTAGCCAAACAATGGTTTTGGCGGTTTCGCTTGGTCAAAAAAGCCAAAGTCAGTCAAAGATGCCAAAAACTATCCCAAATGCTGTTTTCCAAACACGGTAACGTGTAAACAGATACCTTGTGAGCTATAAAACTAACTACATGTGTATAAATTTAGTAGGCTCGCCATATTATCTTCAACATGTAGTAGGCTCGTACCATATTTAATTTATATGCAAATTTCGTTACAAGAATTTGGAGTTATTTGACTTATAAAAAAATAGGAGCACCAAATTAAAGGAGAAAAACTACAAGATGAATTAAATGGTGACTAATAAATAAGTTGGAGCAACTAAAAAAACTTAAAAAATAATTTAAATATTGTGGAAGTGTCATAACGACGACAATATTGTTTGAATTATGTACGTATAGTATATGATGATGGCCCATGGCATGGGCGTCTTTCAATTGCAACATTTAGAAAATAATTTATTTAAAAAATGGTTTGGGGGAGTGCATGTGCTCAAATTGACAAATATAATACTCCCTCCGTCCCAAAAAGATCGTTACGTTTCATTTCTTTGCGCATCACAAAAAGCAATGCTACTCACATCTAAAAATTCTAAAATTTACCATATTTACTCTTTATTATAAGATGAAATTGTTTTGAA